GTTTGTCCCAGCACATCCAGGCCCAGTGGGCTACTGATACATAACATCAACTGTCACCAACGCTTAAATGTATCTTAGATGTGTTTTGTAATCTCTAGCGCTGTCAGCTGATGTGTTGAAGAAAGTGAAAACGACAACATCAACATGCCATCGGTGCTTTTCCTTTTCTATTGTTTATCAATCCCTCGAAGTCTTTGTGTTGTGATTTATGGGATTGTTATCGAACCAGATGTTGTTATTTGAATGGAAATGGAAAAGCTGGTTTCGTTTGGCCATTTTGAGAGGGAATTGGTCAGCAGCCCTTGCTTTCTTGAACAGCCAGCTGGATCAGATTCCAGCCTTTGCATATCCAATAACATTTTTAATGTGCCCCCTCTGGAAGTATGACATATGTGGTGCTGACTCGCATAAATCGGCGACATCTGAAATAAAAGAGACTGGATTATTAATGTCACCATGGTTCGAACTACTGCGCAGTGTTTTGTTCACAACATCTTCTCTTTCACTGTGAATTTCCATCACCTGTTTGGAAAAATAAACCCATACTAATAAGAGGCAGTGTTACTAATTTTGCTCCCAGTGGCAGTTGTCTTCATATTTCATCCAGATATGAAAATGCTATGCCATTTGTCTCAACGGCTCATTAAAAGATAATGTAATCTGCCTCTATAAAGGATTATTTTGTATGTATTAATAATAAGTGTTTCAGCTCTCCAACATAAGACGTCATGCCTGTTGAAGGAATTACTGTGATTTTAGGCTTGGTAATGTATTGATATCTGTGCTTGATCTCTGTATATTTACTCATGGTCTTCAGTAACATTGGGGGAAAGACTGTCTGTCACAGTAGTTTGGATGATATGTTTTAGTTAATTCTATAAAATTGTAGAATAGCTAGCTGAATTTAATGATGTAGGGCTGTTAACGGGAAGTTCAGCATGTAATAAAACAGCTGGTTTTACTTCCCCTGTGGAGATATGTGAAGCTGAATATTTACAATTGTTTTGGTCAGTAAGACTACACTGGCTTCATATTTTAGTCAGAAATGAACCACAAATCGTCTGTTTATGTGTGTTGTTGTCAAGGATTTTTTCCATTATAAATATATATTAATTATGTTCCATAACAGTATCTATTTTTATGGCAATGTTACACTGCAGATTATTGTATTCAGATTTATATTCGTGACTGAATAGCCTATTTAGCTAAAAACAATAAATAAAATCACCACTGGAAAACAATTGCAATTGGATCAGTCTACTGTAACATTAGACTGCATAGACAGTGAGAACTGTATAATGTAATATCGGATGATTTAAGATGTATTCTTGAGGAGTATTTATGTGATAGTGTGATGTTTTTGTTGTTTTCGAGTTTCCGGTAGCAACTGTTCATCAGATTTGATTAGAATTGTATTCAAATAATTGATTCAGCTGAAGTTTGATAAAATGTATAAATGTTTTTTTTTTTGTAAAGAAATTAAAAAAAAAAAAATGGAAAAAATCTCAGAGTGCACAGTTGTGATTCTTCTCCATGACATGAAATGAGAGTCTACCGTAAATAAATGCAAAAAAAAAAAAAAAAAACACCTTTTGGGCCTCTTAGATGTAACTTGGATTATTGTTGCCATTTTTTGAAAACACATTGATATTTCATGAACTGTAATTTGTGTGGTGAATTTGAAGTGATGTTTACAGTTATTCTCCCATGTTCTGGCTGTGTGTCCTGCTATTGCTAATGGCAGAGCTGCTCAACATAGATATACACAGCAATCCTTGGGGAAGGAATTAAAAAAGTCCCCCATAATCCCCTGTCTTCTGAAATCTGTATCCACCTTGGTGTCAAGAGGCACTGCCGCAATGGGCCCCTCTGGGGCCGCCTCATATGGAAGTGCTGTGGTGCACTTTGTTGCGAGGCACAGTGGCACATCACAGGTTGACAGGATCAGCCTCAGAGGAGCCTGGGAGAGCAGTCTAGCTCAGGGATGTTGATAAACAGTTTGAGCTCTTATTTCTTGCTGGAGTGAACAGTGAAAATGGTGCTATGAAATAGCATGAAGAATCACATATTTTGCCACTTAAAAAAAGACTGAATAAATAATTCTAGTCATGCAAAGGAGACCAAGTCACACAGTTTTCATGTGTTGCTTGAGTTCCTCATCTTGTTTTATCTGAGTCTTGCATTAATGGTGATATTAACAGCAGGGGTACATTTTAAAACCCAGTTTTTTTGTAGCTTCTGTCTGTATAAAAAAGCTTCTCAAAATGTTCCCCATTGTTGTAAATTCATAGCATTATAGACACAGTTTCTTGTTTTTTGAGATTATACTAAAAGGTTGTGTGAGGGTTTGCTTTTGTGAAACTGGATATTGCTCAATATAGTGGGTCATAATAAAAGTTAGTGGTCTTGATAGAATAACAATATTACCATAGTTACAGTGAACATTTAGACTGCAGTTACTGGGAACCTGACTTTGTTTACTTTGAAGGAAAACATTTTGTACAGTTTTTATTCTTATGAAGTCTTTGTTTGGTTTTTACCTCTCTGATGCAGCAACAGTTTCTAGTTTATATTACTTGTATATTTATTTTCTATACAGTGATTGCACCCAGTGTTGGCCTACAGTGCTTTCAGTGATTTAAACAGATTTTCAGGACAGGTGTTGTATTTTTAGCTTACAGTGCTCAGCGTAAATGAGTACACCCCCTTTGAAAAGTAACATTTTAAACAATATCTCAATGAACACAAAAACAATTTCCAAAATGTTGACAAGACTAAGTTTAATATAACATCTGTTTAACTTATAACATGAAAGTAAGGTTAATAATATAACTTAGATTACAAATTTTTCACACATTTTTCAGTTTTACACTTTGTATGGCCTCCATGATTTTTAATGACAGCACCAAGTCTTCTAGGCATGGAATGAACAAGTTGGTGACATTTTGCAACATCTATCTTTTTCCATTCTTCAAGAATGACCTCTTTTAGAGACTGGATGCTGGATGGAGTGTGATGCTCAACTTGTCTCTTCAAAATTCCCCATAGGTGTTCGATTGGGTTCAGATCAGGAGACATACTTGGCTACTGAATCAGTTTCACCCTGTTCTTCTTCAGAAATCCAACAGTGGCTTTAGATGTGTGTTTAGGATCATTGTCATGTTGGAAAAGTGCATGACGACCAAGGGCACGGAGTGATGCAGCTTCTCTTTCAGTATAGAGCAGTACATCTGTGAATTCATGATGCCATCAATGAAATGCAGCTCCCCGACACCAGCAGCACTCATGCAGCCCCACATAAGGACACTGCCACCACCATGTTTCACTGTAGGCACCATGCATTTTTCTTTGTATTCCTCACCTTTGCGACGCCATACAGTTTTGAAGCCATCGGTTCCAAAAACATTTATCTTGGTCTCATCACTCCAGAGTATAGAGTCCCAGTAGTCTTCATCTTTGTCAGCATGGGCCCTGGCAAATTCTAGGCGGGCTTTTTTGTGTCTGGGCTTTAGGAGAGGCTTCTTTCATGGACGGCACCCATGCATGCCATTCCTCTGCAGTGTACGCCGTATTGTGTCACGGGAAATAGTCACCCCAGTTTGGCTTTCTACTTCTTTAGATAACTGCAGTGAACTTGCATGCCGATTTTCTTCAACCCTTCTCATCAGAAGACGCTCCTGTCGAGGTGTTAACTTCCGTGGACGATCTGGACGTCTCTGTGAGATGGTTGCAGTTCCATCTTTTTTAAATTTTTGTACCACTTTTGCTACAGTATTCTGACTGATAAGTAAAGCTTTGCTGATCTTCTTGTAGCCTTCACCTTTCTTCTGTAAAGAAATTATTTTCTTTCTCAGGTCTTGTGACATTTCTCTGTCATGTGGTGCCATTGCTGACGACGGTATGAAATGGGAAGGGGTTTTCTTTAAGTAACACCCTTTTATAGTCAGTGGTCTGCTGGACACCTGTGTAATGAATAATTAGACTCACCTATGGTTGAATTCTTCTTAAATTAGACATTTGTAGTCTAAAATTTAGCTT